ATATTTGAAATATAATAACATTATCGAACTTATAATTTTAATATTATGTGCATACAAATAACTTATAATACTTTATTAATATATGTGCAAATGCACAGGTAGAATGCTAGTATGCATAAATATAACTTATAATACTCTATGTTTAAAATATAATATCATTGTATAACTTATAATTTTAATACTATATGCATAAATGTAAGTTATAATATTCTATTTACAGTGTGCAAATGCACAAGATCGAATACTAGTAAGTAAATAACAGTAAGGGCCCCTGACACCACTTGGAGATGGTTGAGGAGAGATTGTCGCCATCTCTCTTCTTCCCTCGTTGAACGCCCGATTCCGATTCCAAACCAATTGACGTCATCACTCTCCGATGAATCGTGAATCCATCGGCTCCTAGCACCTGCCGTTCAAATCCATCTCTATATCATCTTTCCGGCGAATCTTGTACTTCTCTTCAATTTTTTTTCTACATTTCTCTGGTTTTGTCGAATCTTTTATTGAGGTTTCAGATAATATGCGTACTTACGATTGTAAATATGTCCTGACGAATTGGGTTTTTTTTTTTGTTTTTGAAATGTGTGTAGTTGGGGAGAGGAATGCAGAGCCAGATAGTTTGCAGCGGGTGCAGGAGTCTTCTCATGTACCCGAGTGGGGCCAGCAATGTCTGCTGCGCCCTGTGTAGTTCCGTCACCAGTGTTCCTCCTCCAGGTGTATTTTTTTTCCCCTTAATTTCCGATGGAGCTTATGTGTTCTGTATGGGTTTTACGGAAGAAGATGAAGCAGAGATTAGCTCTTGGATGTGGGTCTGTATTGTGTGATTCGAGAACAAATTTATAGGACCCCGACGATTTTAAAAAGAATAAAGTATGACAAATGGGTTTGTATTGTACGTGTCATAGGAACAATAAAAATCTCATCTTTGAACATTTGAAATAACTTAATGTGGGTAGAAGCTGCCAGCTACTCTATCCTATATATGATATTGTTTTTTTTTTTATCTGTGATGTCTTTATGAAACATGTGCTTTGATATTATATTGTATGGTTAAAGATAAAGGTGTGTCCCCCCACTCGCCTTCTGCAAGATTGTTGGTTACTCCTTTAATTGGTATAAACTTTCATGTTGAAAGTAAGAATTAGGTGTTTGGTTCTTAACATGTGCCGAGTCTTGAACATTATTGGATATGGAGTTAAAGATTTCAGTTCAGAATAAAAGAGATACATTAAGCTTATGTATAATGGTATAAATAACTTGCAACTCCTAGTTGGAGTTGTTCAACGAGTTATTCAGGTGGACTTCAAGTCCATGTAATATTGAATTTTTGAAAGCCTTCCATTAAAAAATCCAAATACTACCATCCAAGGGTATAAATAACTTACTTAGATTCCAGGAATGTTGTAAATTATCTACCTTTGCTTAGTCTTTCTCCTTTTCATTTGTGATGTAAGGTTTGTGCAAATACAATTGGGAAAATTTAAGACATGGACCGAGCAACTTTTCTTGATTACCCATTTGGACTGCCCAACTCAAAGAGAGCTGGATGATCGAAATAGAAGCTGGTTTGTTTGATTTCTCTGGATCGTTATTCTGTGGTGTGTCAGGATATCAGTTAACAAGAACAAGCACAATCTTGTCCTCCTTTTTGTTGGATTTTTCTTATCAAAACTCGAATATTGTCCAGTTCCACAGTTCTTGTGCTTGGCCGAACAGATCTATCTCCGTCTTTCTGAGTTGAGCTGTGTCTTTACACGAGCTATCTTCTTTTTTCTTCTCTATTTCTTGAATCTGAAGCTGGGAATTAAACTCAGTGTCAAATATATGGAATGTATATGCACGTGTTATGCTCAACAAATACTTGATATTGCTATTTATGAATACAAGAGTCTCATCTTCTAGTTAGCCTACGAGTACAATGCTGAGTTTGTATTAGAACTTAGAAGTGTTCGGCTGAGATTAAGTTGGTTTTGATGATGGTTTAATTATTTCTAGTAAAAAAGTGGCCACATTTATGTGTAGAGATGTGTTTTAAATATGTTGTTTCTAGATATAACACATAACTTTTGGGTTTTTATACGACTTATAATCAGTTCATCCTCAGGAATGGAGATGGCCCAACTGATATGTGGAGGTTGCCGTACACTACTGATGCACACTCGAGGTGCCACGAGCGTGAGATGCTCTTGTTGTCACACAGTAAACCTTGCACCAGGTTTTAAGAAAATGCTCATGGAATATTCATTATAGTTTGTATTTTTGGTGATCAGTAAGTTTTTGTTTCTTCATTGGACTTTCTTTGAATTCCGTGTGTATCTTTCAAAATGAGCTAGCTCCCAGGATCTCATCTGTTGTGCTCTTTTAGATTGTTTTATCATTACATGACTGAAATTTTTTTAACTGTCAATCTGTTCATGAACATGAATGTACATATTTCTTCATGGGCATCTACTTTTTTGTTTGTCTTTTCGATCAGCACCTAATATGGCTCATATCAATTGTGGAAATTGCCACACGACCCTCATGTACCCTTATGGTGCTCCATCTGTCAAATGTGCCGTGTGTCAGTTTATCACTAATGTAAACGTAAGTATACTGCTATTTACAACGAATTTGTTAACAGAACAAAAAAACAGTTGGAGGCATATTAATATATATTTTTATCTTGGTTCAGATGGGAAGTGTTAGAGTCCCCATACCCATGAATCAGCCAACCGGACCACACGCATCAGCATCCACGCCCTCAAGTTCAGCTGTGAGTTTCTAATATGTCTCGAAAGTCCCGCTACATATATTAGTATTAATGACCTCATAAGGGGAAAATTGTTAATCGATTTGAGTTTACGCATTCCTATTTTACCTTAGTCCTTTATATGCTCAATTTTTTTTGTTCGTCTAATGCATATGCATTGCGTAATTCTCAGAGCCAAACTGTTGTCATAGAAAACCCCATGTCTGTCGACAAGAGTGGGAAAATGGTAGAATTCTTGATTTTACATGGTTTCGTGATAAATACCTTTTCTCTTCATCTTCTCCACATTTTATTCCGAAAATATCTCGATTTTCATTTAGGTAAGCAACGTTGTTGTGGGCGTAACGAAGGATAAAAAGTGATCCGGCTCGAGAAAAGTCGGGCGCAATCACTCGGGCATATACATCAAGATTTTCTATGTATGTATAGTAAACTTTAAGTGCTTGTATTGTAATAAAAGTTGTATAAGGGACTATCCCAATTCATATATTGTTTTTTTTTTTTTT